GATCAGTCTCAATCGTGATGGTCAAGTAAATATCAAGCGAGACCAGTTTTGATTGCTATGAGCTGTCAAAAAGAACTTGACCTTCATTGTCTTGGTCACTTGTAATGTCAGTTCTGATTCTCATTGCTAGTTTAACTGCACATGAGATTGGTCTCACTGATTCTGTCCAGCATAATCAGTTGTGAGATCAGTCTCCACTACCATGATCAATCTGGCCACATCTGAGATCAATTCCAATTCTCATGGGCACTTTGATAACAAGTAAGATCAGTATCTTGCTTGTCATGGGCACTTTGATAACAAGTAAGATCAGTATCTTGCTTGCCATGGCCAGTCAAACCTCAAATTAGTCTCAATTACTATCACTGATTTGGTGCTGTGAGATCAGTCTCTATTTTGAAGGTTCCTCTGACCACATATGAGATTAGTCTGAATTGCAATTGACAGTCTCCCTGCACGTGAGAATAGTGACAATTATTCTGGTCAGTTTTTGTGCTTTTGAGAGACAGTGGCCCACTCCATTCTGTATTTTCTGATGAAATCACTCGATATTCATTCATCCTTTATCAATAATTACAATGCTTCATTGAAAAACATCATTTCTGTTTTTATGAAAACTAGATGAAAAACTATCATCTTTTCTCGAGATTAACAATAACATCATCTGGTCTCTTCGCTCCTCGAGCTCCGTAAGGACGCCCGCCTTGAAAAAGATCTTGGACGTGCCGATCTTGAAGTTCGCCTTGTCCAGCTCCAGTGCATCGACCATGCGCAAACAGGCCTTACGCCCGTCCATATACCCGCGCGGGATTACGCCAGGCGTAAGCACCTCATAGCGCTGGCAAAACTCGACAAACGGGAGGCGATTGGGGTACCCGAGGCGCGCGATGCGGATGCCTCACAAGCTCCTGCTTCCTACTCTCCTCCAGATAATAATCCACTATCTCCGCGAGCGCCCTCGAGTATGGCGCCACGCTCCCAACGATCTCCACAAACACGCCTGCAGCGAGCGCATCGGCGCTCGCGCCTTTTCCTGCGGCGAGCAGGGTCTTGAGGAACCCGCTGTCGTGCTCGTTGTGCCCGACGACCCAATCGACGATATGTGCCGTGAAACGGAGCAGATGCGGACGCGTCGTGAGCTTTAGGGTTTATAACATGACGGGGCATATGAGGTGAAAGTTCTTACAGTGGCTAAGTCTCTACTGTATCGAAAAAAAATGCATGTTAGCCTCTTGCCATGTCACTCATTCTTCCTTTGTCATCCATCTCCGAGTCTTTCCATGACTGATTTCTTTTGACCAGAGAGTTCTGCCCAGGCACTATACCCAGTATCAAATCTTAAGCCATTCTTCAATTTTCTGTCTACTCCGCCATTTTTGGACTGGCAATCACCCAGTGCCCTGAAACACCTGGGGAGTACAGTACTACAGGTGCGTATTTATACCATATTCCGCCCTTCCGTACTCGCCCACCTGGTTTCCAGGCACCTCCCTGTAACGCGATTCCGCCGTCACTTGGCAATCTTTAACCCCGACGCGCTGAGCCTGTTCTGCTAGAAGTGCTGTCAGCTGGCCACTTCCAATCTCTAAGCAAGGGACAGTGGCTGTGCTCGACGCATGAGCACCACAAAGTCCGCTGCCAGCAGCTGGCAACGGCTCACTGGTAGTGGGAGGTGCAGCATTGGAGGCTTGACGTGAGCTCTGCCGCATGTTCTGACGCTTATTTTGGAACCTATCGACGTCGAGCAGGGGGAGGGTTGTATATCAGATGATGATGGCTTTGGCAAACCAAGTGCGGCCACTTACCAAATTTGCACGCTTCTAGCGGACATATTGAGCCTTCTAGCAATGTCGGCCCGCTCCTCAGTTGATGGGAATGCAGTCCGATTGTAGGTCTCGCACAGAACCTTCAGCTGCTCCGGATCGGCCTGCTTCCGCTTCTTTTTGGTGATGGGCTCGGACACGAAAGGTTCTCGGATATATGTCGATGGTGATGCCATGCCGGGAATACGTAAGTATGGCGATGTCCTATGTACTGACAGCCGTGACGGTGCAGTACGATCAACGGACATCGACGCACGTCTTGGCATGCCGCCAATAGCGGGGTCGATTCCCACAGCAGGAACGGGAAGAGGCAAATTGCGCGAGTCAGGAGGGGAGTGATAAGAAGCAGGCTGCT